GTCAGGCAGTGGCTTTCAACGCTGCCAATCCGACCACTGTCCTGGGATGATGCATAGCAGGCAGGGGAGGCTAGAGAGAGGAGCGTAGCAGTGGTGAGAAGCCCTAGACCCTACCATCAAGCAGGTGCCGCAGCATAGTGGGCAACACCTCCTTCACGTGTCTTACACCCAGACTTCAGCCCTTGTAGTCTGGGGACTAGGGAACTGCAGCAGTGCTGACACTGCTGTAGAACTGCAATTAAAGGCCTCCTTGTGGCTTAGTGCCCATAGCTCAGTGCTTAGGGCATCAGCCACATACCCGGTGGGTTTATACCCTGCCAGGACCAGCTAAACAACAATGACAACTACAACCAAAAAATAACCGGGCTGAGCTGTGCCTGTTGCTCAAAGGAGTAGGGTGCCAGGGCCATATGCTGGAGGTGGTGGGTTCAAACCACCCTAGCCAAAAACTGCAAAAAACCAAAAAAATAACCAGGTGTTGTGGTGAGCGCCTATAGTTCCAGCTACTTGGGAGGCTGAGGCAAGAGAATCACTTAAGCCCAAGAGTTTGAGGTTGCTATGAGCTGTGATGTTACGGCATTCTACCAAGGGAGACAAAGTGAGACTCTGTCTCAATAAAAAAAAAAGAAAGAAAGAAAAAGAAATAGGGCGGGACCTGTGGCTCAAAAGAGTAAGGTGCTATAGGCCCCATATGCTGGAGGTGGCAGATTTAAACCCAGCCCTGGCCAAAAACTGCAAAAAAAAAAAAAAAAAGAAAAGAAATAAAAATAAAGCCCTCCTTGTTTTCATAGTGGAGTGCCTACATTAAAATATGATTTTGGAGCTTGGCGCCTGTGGCTCAAGTGGCTAAGGTGCCAGCCACATACACCTAAGGTGGTGGGTTCAAATCCAGCCTAGGCCTGCCAAAACAACAATGATGGCTGCAACCAAAATATAGCCGGTGTTGTGGCGGGCGCATGTGGCCCAGCTACTTGGGAGGCTGAGGCAGGAGACTCACTTGAGCCCAGGAGTTGGAGGTTGCTGTGAGCTGTGATGCCACATCACTCTACCCAGCGGGATAGTTTGAGGTACTGTCTCAAAACAACAACAACAACAACATGATTTTGGGGGCAGTGCCTGTGGCTCAAAGGAGTAGAGCACTGGCCCCATGTGCCGGAGGTGGTGGCTTCAAACCCAGCCTCAGCCAAAAACTGCAAAAAAAAAAAAAAAAAAACCATGATTTTGGGCTCAGCGCCTGTAGCTCGGTGGCTAGGGCTCCAGCCACGGGAGCTGGTGGGTTCAAATCCATCCTGGGCCTGGCAAACAACATTGACAACTACAACTAAAAAAATAGCCAGGCATTATGGCGGGTGCCTGTAGTTCTAGCTACTTGGGAGGCTGAGGCAAGTGAATCACTTAAGCCCAAGAGTTTGAGGTTGCTGTGAGCCGTGACACCACAGCACACTAATGAGGGCAACATAATGAGACTCTGTCTCAAAAAAAAAAATGAATTTTTGAAGTGTTTTATCTAATAATGTGTATAGAAATACCAAATCATGGTGGTACCTGTAGCTCAGTAGGTAGTGCACCAGCTACATACACCAAGGCTGGCAGGTTAGAACCCGGCCTGGGACAGCTAAAACAACGATAACAACTACGCCAAAAAAAATAGCAGGGTGTGTTGTGGGCGCCTATAGTCCTAGCTACTTGGGAGGCTGAAGCAAGAGAATTGCTTAGGCCTAAGAGTTTGAGGTTGCTGTGAGCTATTATGCCGCAGCACTTTACTGAGGACAACATAGTGAGACTCTGTCTCAAAAAAAAAAGAAGAAATATCAAATCATTTGTAGCTCTTATAAAAATTTTGGAAATGGCCTCAGATATTTCTGACATTTTTGAGTAAAGGATGCTGAAAATGGAACAAAACAATCTCTAGAATGACCTCATGTGCAAGTCAGGCACAGTGGCTCACACCTGTAATCCTAGCACTCTGGGAAGCCAAGGTGGGTGGATATGTGAGTTCAGGAGTTGGAGATCAGCCTGAGCAAGAACCAGAGCCTGTCTCTAAAAACAGCCAGGTGTTATGGCAGGCACCTGTAGTCCCAACTACTCAGGAGACGGAAACAAGAGAATCATTTGAGCCTAAGAGTTTGAGGTTTCTGTGAGATATGAGGCCACGGCACTCTACCAAGGGCATCAAAATGAGAGTCTATCTCAAAAACAAAACCTTCATGTGGAAGTTTGTAATAGGACAGGGCCACCTGTAGACTCCAGGAAAAGATGGGTAATTCTGTGGGTGCTCCTGAGACTTGGGCCACTGGACATTACTCAGACAAGTGGAAGCTGGTCTGTATCTCTTGCCTTGCCCAGATCAGCTCCCAATAGAGCAGTTTCCCTATAAGTGACAAAACGTTAGAGACCTTAGAATGAAGAAGGATTTCTTTTTTTTTTTTTGAGACAGAGCCTCAAGCTGTCCCCCTGGGCAGAGTGCCATGGCATCACAGCTCACAGCAACCTCCAACTCCTGGG